CTGCAAGCCAGGGCCTCACCTCCTTCTTTGAGCCAGTGAGTAATGAAAATGGGATCAGTTCTGACAACACTCTGCAACACACACACAGACTCACACAAATGCACTCCTGTGCACACACACACAAAACAAAAAAAAGGCATATTCGTGCTTGTTGCAACAAAATGGTCACATTTAAACACACAAGCAGATATACAGCAATCACCAAAGCAACCTAGACCCCCCAAGATAGCCAGACTTAAGTGATGTTTATGAGCATAAACACAGCATCTCTTTCACGTGACTTGGCCATTTCTAATGAGATGGCCTTTTTTCTGTTACATAATACAACTGATTCTTTTTCTTTGATAAACTGAATTGAAAGCAGTTGCTTTGTAGTTAATTGATTACTTTGAGCAGCTAATTAACAGCGTTGCTTTAATTACACAGAGATGAGAGGCACACAAGCTGGAGACTCTCCGTGTTAAACTGTGAGGAAGAGAAATAGTTATGACATAGCCTAAATCTCAATAAAAGGAAATATTCAAATATGTTGTAAAATGCCCCTGAGTTACATTATCTTCTCATCAACCAAGAAGTGTTTAAAATTGTTTACTTTACCATCTCTTTGGAGGGCAGAATAAAACATTATAATATGGAGGCTATGAAGACATATGGAAATTTTTCAAATTGGGGTTAGAAAGATGCTTAACATTTCAATATGTTTAAAGTGATGTCATCATCATAAATTAAAGGCTTACTCAAGGGGAGATGAGAAAAGTATAAAACTGACTTGCTCGAAAAATATGGACACAGATGAGAAGCAACTTCCATGTCTGAAGCTACAACACAGTCATCAGCAGATTTGTTGACACGCACGCACACACACAGGGCTTTGATCAATTCACAGTGATCCAGGGGTGGTATATCATGATATCAACATCTGTTGTGATACAGCACATTTTGGGGGGTAAATTCAATTGTGAAATTGTCTCTAGGTAATATAACTAGAGGTCTGTCTTTGGTTGGTTTAGTTAATTAAACCTCCAAAGAAAATTCAGGTATTTCATCACACTGCTGCAGAACTTTGTGTGAATCCAGACATGAGCAAGGATATCAAAGAGATCTACTGTACGTGATTGTAAATGGTGCAGTTTTAAGGTGAAGTCCACCAAAGCCATCTCTTAGCAAATTGCTAATATGATGTTAAGGCCCACAATCTATGGACAAATTAGCATTTGCATTCAAGGCAAAATCCAAAGACTGTGAAAAGATGTGGGGATCATTTATGGACTTAGTAGTCTTAAGAGGGTGTTTAATACAAAAATCTTATTTTTCTAGAAGTATAAAGTTGAGACCTTGATAAGTTTGGACAAATTGTACACCATAAGTACTTTTCCATTATCTTTTCTTTTATGTTTTTGTTTAACTATTTATCTATCAAGTAAATTTTGCTGCCTTTGCTTTTAATTGATAGAATTATTTTATAATTATTATACAATTGAGTGCATACATGTTTATAAGTTTAGTCTTTCTTTTATCATGTCTATATGTCTGTAACAGTTTCAAATACATACAACGGTTTAAAAAATGGTCATGTCTGGTCTTATCGCCAATCAGATTTTCTTGGGAAGTGTCAAAATAAGGCTCAGGCATATACTGAAATCAATATCTAAAAATCTGAAATTTAATAAACATCAATGACATAACTTGCCAGTTTTCTCTGCTGGACAAACTATGCTATGGTGACACTGTTACAGATCTACATCAAATATATCTTTTTTAAATTCATTAGGCAACACATACATAAATACCAATATTTCTATGCTATATATCTATGATAAGCTAATAGGACTGGACTAATGATTGTTTTTATTCTCAATTAATCTGCTGATAAGTTTCACGATTAATCAATTCATTGGTTAGTCTATAAAATGTCCAAAAATGTAAAAAAAATGCTCATCACAATTTCCCAGAGCCCAAAGTGATTGCTTAAGATTGCTTCTTTTGTCAAACCAAAATCTAAAGACTCTTCATTTACTATAATAAATGATAAAAAAAAGCAGCAGATTCTCACATTAAAGATGCTGAAAGCAGCAAATGTTTGACATTTTTTCTTGAAAAATGACTATGATTAATCATCCATCAAAATAGCTGGTGATTTTTTTTTATTGATAGATTTAATTGTGTAATTGAGTAATCATTGAGGCTCTATATGGTTGGAATCGCTTCTGACTACATCACTTCAGTGCTGGTCGCACTCAGCTATGCTTCAACTGCATAATTTTGCACCAGCAGTAACTTAATAATGCACTTCTGCATATTTTTCCTATAATATTATAAGGTTGGGAGGAAAATCTAAATTCTTGCTGGACCGCTTGTGCTACAATTGAAGCCTTAATCACTGACCCCAACCTTTATCTAAATGCCCCTGAGCAACAATATGAAACACATTTTCTTTTGTCCATGAGTTACGTCCAACTAAATTCAAAACTATAATTTTCCAGTGGAATAGACGAAAGGTAACAACATGTGCAACTATTTCAGGCATGGTTTTCTAGGGAGAAAGAAAGCAGGTAGGATCAAGTGTTAATGGCCAGGGGTGCCTGTCTAATCTCATTTGGTCTGGCAGTGTCGGGAGGGTGGGGGAGGTCTTCACCAGTTTAAAACGATACCATCACCACAGGTATTCCAGCTAGGCTCTGATTGGCCTTGACAGAACAAAACATCGCCGCAGCAAATGACTCAAGCACCTCCCACTACATCAAACTCGAGAGAACAAGGTCAGATCAGCAGCGACATAAAGTTTAATCTTAGAAAACAAACTTCTCTTCAAACTGCACCCTTAAACGCAGTGTATCGTAGCTGAGGAGAGCGTTGCTAATACACCAAGTGGTGCGTGGAGAGCCTAAGTCAAAGGACTGCTGACTAATGTGCCGAAATGGTTGGAAATACTCTGTGGTATTGCAGATGGCAGAGGTATTTGTTATTCATATGGCCCTCAAGGTGCATCCACAAGGCTTGCGTGAAAGTGTGTGTCTGCACGTGCATGCCTGGATGTCTATGTGTGTATGCTTTTGTGTGTGTGGGTATGTGTGTCTTGTGCTTCATCCACAGTGCTGAGGATGCCATTAATGCTTGCTGCTGATCGCCCTCCCACATTTAAATAACAATAGTGCAGTCAGAGAAAGCATCGGTGTGAATCCAACCCGCAAAACACCCAGGAGCTGCGGGCCCCACTCCTGCTGTGTGTACGTGTGTGCGCGTGTTTGTGTATGTGTGTGAGTTTAGGTGCACTTGTGCTCAAACATCCACATACATGTGAGTCTGAGAAAAGATAGTAAGACAGAGACAGGAAGGAGAGAGAGGGAGGCAAGCTGCAGCACTGTCTAAAATACATATAGCCACTGTGTTGTGCAGATAGGTTGTATGATGAGAAACTCCAGGTCCATGGAGCTGCCCCATTAGCATGCACCGGTAGCCCTGGATCCCTCAGTGGATGAGCTACCTGTCTTTTAAATTGAATACAGCGCTGGGCCAAGGGTGGACAGAGTACTGACTGTAGGGTTTCAGACTTATTTTTCACCTCAGAAATAACAGACATTTCAAGTTTTCCTCTTATTGTGAAGTGTCTTCATTACAGCCGTCTAGATTGGCACTATATCAGGCACTTTATCAGCAGAATGCTCACTCAGCACTTCTGTCATTTAGAAACCATTTGGATGGCACACTATGAGCATCACCAAGCTTACCAACATTCATGCAATGAGCTCGCACATGCAATATCAGAGACTATTTCAACTAACAGGAATATCAAGTTTCTTTCAATCTGGGACCCACAGTTATTTTAGTCCTAATCTCTATAAACAGAAAACTGCATATGCAGGATCTCAAGGCGAGGGGACAAGATTTTAGTGTTGAAAGTGTACTGGTTTCTGGTTGTAGTAGTATAGAGTAGAATTTGATCAATCAAGTTTGAACGGCAGGTAAACAGTCCATGTGGAGAGGTGGAACGCATCGGCCAAAAGGAAATCTCGTAACCTTTCAGCTTTCATCTGACAATGAGTTAGCCTTTTTAATTAATGTGCATTGATATGCCTACACAGATTACCACAAAGGACTGGCGAAGAGAAGAGTAAGTAAGGTATCAGCTGACTATACCAGATCAGCCCGAAATATTGCTCCTTACCCCGAGAGGGTGTGTAGTCATCAGACCGACAGCTGATGGGTCCGAGATTGTTACTAAACTCACTTCAACCAAGCAGCACAATAGCAACCAGTCATACTCTTTACCAGTTTATAATTTAACCACAATAAATAAATCCATGCATCCATTTATCATTGTCTATGTCAGCTCATCCTGTGCAGGGCAGCAGGGGCTGGACAGTCTTCCAGCTCATGCTGGGCAATACAGATCACCAGTCTAAACAATCAAAAAGCATTCACACCCAGAGCCACCACTAAATCTAACCCACACACCTTTGGACAGTGGGTAGAAAGCAGACCACTCATGCAGACACTGGGGGAACATGCAACCCCAGTAAGGACCCAGCAAGCCCCCAAACAGCCGGTGAAACTAACATTTAACATATCTAAATTAATTCAACTCCATTTCATTATAACCATATAAACACAGAGCTATTATAGACAATTTTCAAGTGCTGGTGCACATTTACAAGCAACGAGTTAGCACTTATGAAAGGCTTTTTTCTCAGAAGACATTGTCAGAAAACTGCAGGTTATACTACCAACATACAGCAAATCACCATGCACAAAGAAGGACCCTGAAACTAGAGCAGCTAAATTAAATTCAGCCATCATTAATTTCATTATTTACACGCACATTTCTCTTACCGTGCATGTCAAAATGTCTCTCATGAAAAAAAACAGTTACAAAAAAAGGGACTTTACTGACACCTCATTCCATGGTAGTATTAGCAAACGGACACAGTCAACAGTGGTATGTACTGGGCAAAAACTGATTGATAAACCAAACAAGTGTGGATCCATTAGAGGATACTTACCAAAGATGCGTCCTGTCGCCTCTTTATAGATGAATTTGGCCCATCTCTTCTTCAAGTGGCAGCAGTGTTGATAACATATCTTTCAACCTGAGTGATGGATACGATTCAAAGGCACCAAGTAAGAATTAACAAAAGGCCTTATCCACACAGCAAACATTTTGACTTCAGAAAACTAAAGGTATTAATAACATTAATTATGGTTTCAATCTCTTCTCCTTGTAAGCCATGACAGTTTGAGTGCAGCAGCCTTTATGACACTCGGAGAAGGAAACTGAAGCAGCTATAATTATTATTTACACATGTGCTTCTCCTACTCTGACATGTCAAAATGTCATTCATGAAAAATGCCCACAACAAAAGGGAGTTTACTTGCACCTAATTCCATGTTAGTGATCATTAGCAAACTGTCCTAACTGATAAACTCAACAATAATGTGTACATATTATAAAAAGTGTGGACCCATTTGAAGGTACTTACCAAAGATGTGTCCTGTTGCTTCTTTATAGATCAATCTGGCCCATCTCTTCCTAAAGTGACAGTGGTGTCGATAATGTATCTGTCGACTTGAGTGATGAAGAAGATTCACAAGTTAGCATTTACAAAAGGTCTTTCTCTCATAGCAGGCATTTTGACTTCTCATGGTCAGATAACCAGAGGTGTTAATAACATTAACAGTGGTTTTTATCTGTTCTCTCTCAGTAGGCCATGACAGTGTAGACCAGCCTGTACGATACGAACCAACAAAGATGGGAGGCAGTTTGATATGTTGTTATGTTTAGGTTTTGTAACTGATATTTACCCGTCTTGAAAATGCTCTTATTGAGAGTTTTATGTTTTATAAAACTGAGGTTTTTATATGTGAACTTTCATGAATTATTTGTCTAATGCATTGTAATGTTACTTGTCTTGTACTTGTCTTGAACACACTCTTAATGAGACTTTGTATGTGTATACAGTACAGGCCAAAAGTTTGGACACACCTTCTCATTCAATGCGTTTTCTTTATTTTCATGACTATTTACATTGTAGATTCTCACTGAAGGCATCAAAACTATGAATGAACACATGTGGAGTTATGTACTTAACAAAAAAAGGTGAAATAACTGAAAACATGTTTTATATTCTAGTTTCTTCAAAATAGCCACCCTTTGCTCTGATTACTGCTTTGCACACTCTTGGCATTCTCTCAATGAGCTTCAAGAGGTAGTCACCTGAAATGGTTTCCACTTCACAGGTGTGCCTTATCAGGGTTAATTAGTGGAATTTCTTGCTTTATCAATGGGGTTGGGACCATCAGTTGTGTTGTGCAGAAGTCAGGTTAATACACAGCCGACAGCCCTATTGCACAACTGTTAAAATTCATATTATGGCAAGAACCAATCAGCTAACTAAAGAAAAACGAGTGACCATAATTACTTTAAGAAATGAAGGTCAGTCAGTCCGGAAAATTGCAAAAACTTTAAATGTGTCCCCAAGTGGAGTCGCAAAAACCATCAACCGCTACAATGAAACTGACACACATGAGGACCGACCCAGGAAAGGAAGACCAAGAGTCACCTCTGCTTCTGAGGATAAGTTCATCTGAGTCAGCAGCCTCAGAAATGGCAAGTTAACAGCAGCTCAGATCAGAGACCAGATGAATGCCACACAGAGTTCTAGCAGCAGACCCATCTCTAGAACAACTGTTAAGAGGAGACTGCGCGAATCAGGCCTTCATGGTCAAATAGCTGCTAGGAAACCACTGCTAAGGAGAGGCAACAAGCAGAAGAGATTTGTTTGGGCCAAGAAACACAAGGAATGGACATTAGACCAGTGGAAATCTGTGCTTTGGTCTGATGAGTCCAAATTTGAGATCTTTGGTTCCAACTGCCGTGTCTTTGTGAGACGCAGAAAAGGTGAACGGATGGATTCCACATGCCTGGTTCCCACTGTGAAGCATGGAGGAGGAGGTGTGATGGTGAGGGGGTGTTTTGCTGGTGACACTGTTGGGGATTTATTCAAAATTGAAGGCACACTGAACCAGCATGGCTACCACAGCATCCTGCAGCGACATGCCATCCCATCCGGTTTGCGTTTAGTTGGACGATCATTTATTTTTCAACAGGACAATGACCCCAAACACACCTCCAGGCTGTGTAAGGGCTATTTGACCAGGAAGGAGAGTGATGGAGTGCTGCGGCAGATGACCTGGCCTCCACAGTCACCGGACCTGAACCCAATCGAGATGGTTTGGGGTGAGCTGGACCGCAGAGTGAAGGCAAAGGGGCCAACAAGTGCTAAACACCTCTGGGAACTCCTTCAAGACTGTTGGAAAACCATTTCAGGTGACTACCTCTTGAAGCTCATGGAGAGAATGCCAAGAGTGTGCAAAGCAGTAATCAGAGCAAAGGGTGGCTATTTTGAAGAAACTAGAATATAAAACATGTTTTCAGTTATTTCACCTTTTTTTATTAAGTACATAACTCCACATGTGTTCATTCATAGTTTTGATGCCTTCAGTGAGAATCTACAATGTAAATAGTCATGAAAATAAAGAAAACGCATTGAATGAGAAGGTGTGTCCAAACTTTTGGCCTGTACTGTATGTCTTGTTTTATGTTGTTTGTTTTGTTGTGTGTGAACCCCAGGGAGAGTAGCTGATACCATAGTAGCAGTTAATGGGGATCTGTCAAGAATACTAAGACCCAAAGACTAAAGCAGCTAGGCTATAATCATATTTCCACCTGGGACAGAAATTACCTTTTTGTCCACCTAACACTTAGCTGGATGATTTTAAAATCTACAAGACACTTTATAAATTACCATTGTTATGCTTGTTTGTTTTCTTTTGTTTGTTTGTTTGTTTGTTTGTTTGGCTGGTGAGTAAAGCAAGTACAGCAGCCAATTACATATTTTACTGGCATTTGGCTGGCGCTAATTTCCAACCCTGTTTACACATGTATGCCTCGCCTACTGTGACACATCAAAATATCTTTCATGAAAAATACCTCAAACAAAAGGGACTTTATTGACATCTCATTTCATGGCAGTTAATTATTAGCTAACTGTCCTTTATAATGATACTGTATGAACTGGGCAAAAACTAAATGAAAAACTCAACAACAATGTGGACATACACTTACCGGGCAATTTATTAGGTACACCTGTTCAACTGCTTGTTGACGCAAACAGTCATGTGGCAGCAACTCAATGAATTTAGGCATGGTCAAGACGACCTGCTGAAGTTCGACCGAGCATCAGAATGGGGAAGCAAGGTGATTTAAGTGACTTTGAACGTGCCATGGTCGTTGGTGGCAGACGGCCTGGTCTGAGTATTATATTTATCTACTGGGATTTTTATGCACAACCCTGGACCCTGTGTCTGGCTAATAATGGCCACACTGGTTCAAGATGATAGAAAGGCAACGCTAACTCAAATAACCACTCGTTACAACCAAGGTATGCAGAAGACCATCTCTGAACGAACACATCAAACCTTGAAGCAGATGGGCTACAGCAGTCAGTTAAGAACAGGAAACTGAGGCTACAATTGACACAGCTCACCAAAAGTGGACCATAAAAGATTGGAAAAACATTGCCTGGTCTGTGTCTCATTTTCTGCTGCGACATTCAGATCGTAGGGTCAGAATTTGGCGTAATTGACATGAAAGCATGGATCCATCCTGCCTTGTATCAACGGTTCAGGCTGGAGGTGGTGGTGTAATGGTGTGAAGGTTATTTTTTGGCACAATTTGGACCCCTTAGTACCAGTTGAGCATCTTTTAAACACCAGCCTACCTGAGTACGTTACTGTTGCTGACCTTTTCCATCCCTTTATAACCACAGCGTACCCATCTTCTGATGGCTACTTCCAGCAGGATAACGCGCCATGTCACAAAGCTCAAATCATCTCAAATTCACTGTCCTCCAATGGCCTCACAGTCACCAGATCTCGATCCAGTTCTCATCATGGATGTAGAGCCAACAAATGTCCAGCAACTGGGTGATGCTATCATGTCAACATGAACTCAAATCTCTGAGGAATGTTTCCAGCACCTTACTGAATCTATGCCACCAAGAATTAAAGCAGTTCTGAGGGAAAAGGGGGTCCAACCTGGTACTAGCAAGGTGTACCTAATAAAGTGGCCGGCAAGTGTATAAGAAAAGTGTGAACTCCTATGAGGGTACTCACCAAAGATGCAGCTTGTTGCCTCTTTACAGACGAACTTGGCCCACCTGTTCTTCAAGTGTGGCTGACTTAACTGCTCACCTGAGTGATGGATAAAGATGGCGGTAAGCACCATAGGTAATGCTGCATTCTATTGGTAGCCGGAACCGGGATTGATACGGTTTCCGGTCCGGAAAAGTACAAAAGAACACCCGTTCTACCCGGAGGTCTCGTCATCAAACTCGGGCAAGGTCCAGGTAGACCGAGTCGGTAGAATTGACGTCACGACGCACATTGTGAATGGTAAACAAAGTTATTTGTCCTCAATTTGTCCTTGTATATGCTGTTTAATTAAGCGTTTGTGTTGTAAAATTCATACAAGTACTTTGCAATGGCATTTCTATTTCCACTGTTGATTTGTGTTGGGAAAAAAGTCTGTGCAAGCTCGTTGTAGCCTAAAGTCGTTTGAACCAGCAAAGTCTCCGTTGCTCAGCAACCATGCAAACAAAAACAAATTTACGGCGCGCCGCCATGTTTTCCGGACTGTTGCAATGCAACGCTTTCAGATCAGACGTGTCATACGGTCGTATAAATCCGACAAGGAATGACCGGCCTGGATTGCCAAACGAATGCGGCATAAGCACCACCAACCGCTGTTGACGTTTGTGACGCAGCATACAATTAACGGCATCCCCATTGAATATCTTCGATCTTTGGTGCACACGGCCTCTATTGGTGCACACGGCCCTTATTGGTAGTTCTTTAGCAACGTTAGCTAGCAAGTTTTAGCTAACTTAGCTAACGTTAACTCTGAGTTTACCCCTTTATATGCTCTGTATAATTAACATTTTATCAAATTACCGCTGAAATTAGCGCATTAAACAGAATATTATGGGCTGGTAAAAGCTGTCCCAGGTGCTGGACTGTCCTTGATAAATGGCTGTCAAAAACAAACGTTTAACGTTATAGGATAAAGTTAGCTCTGACAACAGCTAAAATTACAAACTCACCAGTGCTGTTTGAAGTCTATACGCTGGAGGTAATGCAGTTAGCTTCACGGTAACATTTTAGGAGAATTCAGTCAATTTCAGTCATAAGTAAAAGCAGCAAAACAACAGGTAGGGTACAGGTGGAGTCGTTAAACTCAATAATGTTGTACCTGCTACGTTACAACACCTGTCAAACATGGCGCATCAGCTAGTCGTCCTTGCTTAGGTAGCTAGAAGATATTAATCAGCTTTTCTGAAAAGTTAAAAACATTTTACTCCTGTTGTTTTCCTGTCCATATTCTACCACTGTACTCATGAGTTAAATGTGAATATTTTATTTTTTATATTTTAAAATAATATTTTCATTAATCAGTGTTACACCACTACTAGGTCTATTTTAATTTGTATGCAACAAAACAGCCCACTAGTCTAAGCCACTGGCACTCTGTTAAACACATGTACACAGAGATTAATATACAGTCTATTCTTCATTTAATACAGGACTCAAATGACAGCAAATTGCATTGTCAACAAATACTGTTTTTCTCAAGTATGTGTTTATATGAGTAATGTTTGTTTGCTTTCAGTATCCAGCACCTGGGAAGAACTGTGGATGTGCACGCCCTCGCTTAATGTGTGAGACCATACAATATGCCTTACTATTACATTTACATAACATCTAAATTATGAACCTTGTTCTTTCTGACCTTTAGATTAGATGAACAGCAACTGCACCTCAGCCCTTTGTGCATCCTTTATTTATAGCTGACTCATTGTTTGTAGTTTTTGTGTACTGGAGAAAAGGGAAGGTGCAACTGATAAAACAGATACTGAGTGTGCATGCTTGAGATGTGTGTATATATACATTTATCTGTGTCTAGGATGTGCCGGTGCATGCTGTGTTCAATGCGATGCATGTCTTAGAATCTAAAATGCTCTGACACTCAACTCCCTCACCTTCTACTTTAACTGCTTTCTCTTTATAATCACAGAAACCAGTCTGCAACAGCATCTTTACATCCACTCTTCAACTTCTTTCATCCATACACATGAAAATTTTGGCTGTCACAGAACACCTACTCACTGGTATGTATACACACAGAAATACACAGGCTAACATACTTTGTTGTGCCATTATGAGCGCACAGTCTGAGTGATCCCATTTTAAGAAGAACTCATTGTGAAATTAAAGATACATAGATAAAGCACTTAAAATTCTCAGATGATCCTTTGAAGGCTGTCAGACAATAATTTAATAATACTTATAAACTTTACTCTGCATGCATCTTCTTTTATTCCTCTTATGATGTGCCACAAATTGATGCCTAACAGTCACACAGCACACAAGATGAGTCGAGGAGAGAAGTAAAGAGAAGAGGGAAGCAAAGTATAAGTGGGATGCCACGGGTGTAGGGAGTTGTGAGAGACTTTTGGGGAAAAAAAGAAGACAGAGACAAAAAGAGTGAGAGGCTGAGTCTAATAAGAACCAAGAGACGGCGTGCTGGTGTCTTGTGGTGCCATTTGAATACAGGGCAGCAGCAGCTGGAGTCTGTGTCGAACAGCTCTGCACTTCACACAGCATCACCATCAGGAGAGCATAGCGCTGGTAGTACTCTGCTAGAGTCTTACGCTGCTTCACACACTCCCACAGACCAGCCTGTGTGCGGGCATGTGTGTGTGTGTGCGTGTGTGAAGGTGGGAATGACTTGGAGCTCCATGCTTCTCATTACTCAGCCGCTGTAATGTGCTCGCCTTTCTAGCTTACCGTATTGGGGCTGGTGTTCCCACTGTTGGCTTACAGAAAAGGGAAGGACCAGCCTCACCTCTGTTCTGAATGCATTAGCACACATCACATTTTCAATCTGGACCTCAGCACAGGTTCCCAGCAAGTCTACTGAATAGTAACAGAGTATGCATGCAAGTGTGTGTGTGCAAGAGAGAGTGAGGGGGGGTTGCAGCAGAGTTTAAAAATGCCCATACTCCTGTTCGGTGCTGATAAGTTGTGTTATGGGAAACTGCCGGGGCAGACAGCAGGGTCATTAGCATGACTGCCAGATTGAGAGGTAGAGAAGAAGGAAGGAGGAAAGGGAAGAAGGAAGGAAGGGAGGGAGGACAAAAAGAAATTACCCAAGTTTCCAAAGTTTTCTAAGGAAACAAGTGAGTATCCAGGCGTAAGAGACAAACATGAACCTCTGACCTTTCACTTCCTGTCTCAGCCACTTCCACACTTGATGATTGGCACCTCTACATTCACCTAAGTTCATCAGGCAAAACTTTCTTTTCATTTATGTATCGGTGTCTGTTGCCTGTCCAGGAGTGGTGGAAAGTAACAGAGTAAATATACTCAGGTACTGTAGTCGAGTACAATTTTGAGGTACTTGTCATGGATATTTCTATCTACTCTCAGCTACTTTACACTTCTACTCCTCTGCATTTCTTAGATGTAACTATGTTTTTTCATTCCAACCGCCAGTCAGCGTTGGTTTCTTTAAACCATGACAAGAGACTTCCCTTTCTCGATGTCTGCCTTCTCCTCAATATAATCGAACTAGATGGTACTCAGCCTACAATATTCCGCCACAAAATCAAAGATCACAATAAGTAAATAATTCAAAAATGAATAAATTATACATATTTTTGTTGCAGAACTTCTTACCATATTAATTAAAACCCGACCCCTAATTTGTGAACCACTCAACCAAATTACAATTAACTATTAACAGTATATTAAAGCAAGCTTTACCACAGCCAACTGCAGCAGTAAAATGCTACATGCATGTTCATACATCACTAATAATGTTATAAATAATAACGCACCAGTCACAGGGACCATTTTTCTGTATAATGAGTACTTCTGATGTTTGACATTTTGTATTGATACTCCTGCTTTAAGAATCTGAATACTTCCTCTGCCACTGCTTGTTGAGTGTGTGTATGTTGTATAAGGTTTTACATCTGAAGCACACACCTTTAATTTTATGTTAAGGGGACCCGAGGTTTATATGTGACCTGAGGATCATTGATTCTAATGTTCTGTTGCATTACAATCCCCCCTCAGTTTCTAAACGTGAGTCCACTCCATCATCTTTAAGTGCACTTTGCCAAAAGAAATTCTCAGAGGCTTTTTTGACAGCTATTACAACACTATTCTGCTGCCCAGCACCATTCAACACCAAGGAGCCTGTTTATTGTTTTAATAGCAGCTGCTACAGTATTCTTTGTGCTGCTGTTGCTCCCTTCAGGAACAACAAATCAAGAAAAATAAAAGTCAAATGGCTAAAGGACATGCCTGGGCTGTGAAGAGAAAATATAAAGAAGCCAAACATTAATGGAAAGGCTAATAAAGTCTGTGTCCTAAAGTGTTGTGAAGGGCTTATTGCTGAAATATCATAAACTGGTTAAGGATGCAGGAGCAGTTTTTTTTTTTTTTTTAAATGTCTAGGATCCTTTTCGGTGTTATTGACTCAGTCTTAAACCCCTCTCTTTCTCATGGAATCAAAGCCTCCCCTGAAAATGAAGATTTTTTAGAAATGTAATTTCACCAAAAACAAGCAGATGCAGATTTAAGTCTCTGACAGGGACTTGCTGTGCAGACAGGTGAAAAATTAGAGGAAAAACCTGAATAGATGAGTAGAGAAACACACTTCCATACAGGCTGCAAGGGGTCACTGAATGGTTTGATGAGAATGAACATGATGTGAATCCAGCAACTTGAGATGTGCAGAGTTCACCTCATCAAACCACCAAATGAGGGAATATCTTTTAGAAGACTGGTCCTCAAACTTTTTTTTTTAATAATGTACCAGGTTTGAAATATTTTTCAGCCAAGTACCCTCTGACTTTCAAAAAAAATCTCACACAACCCTTGCAGTACTCCAAAGTACCCCTAGGGGTACCATACCACTGTTTCACCCCTTTCCCACCAAACAGCTCTGGTTCTTAACCGGTTCTATTCAGGATTTTTGGAACCTTGGTCCTATCTCACAAATTAGCCCGCGTTTTCACCAGTTTTAAGCAGAACCATTGTAATCAAGCATGTGTCATCAACAGATGCTGATCGCTGTTGAGTGTGCGCCCCATGTAAGCTGAGTCATTTTCAGCGATCCAGATTTAGCAATCTGGATTTGATTCCCACCTACAGCCCTTTGCTGCATGTCATCCCCTCTCTCTCCCCCTTTCCTGTCTCTTTCCAGCTGTCCAATAACCTACAAGCTTTTGTCCTGTTATTACAGATATTTGTTTTTATCCCAAAAACAAGCATGGATCAACTATAAATGAGACTGCATGTGCTCTTTTTATCAATAATTTCTCACTAAACATCTCTATTGTTGCCTTCTCCATCCTCTTTTTCCAATTTGCAGAGTATGACAAGCCCACTGTCACTGTTCACTTTAAAAAAACAACCTACAACACTATTTGGGTTCTGAACCAATTTACTTTTGGCCGAAATGCTCTGAACGGTTCAAAGTTAGATGTGGGAACCAAAATGGAACCCATTGTTGGTGGTGGCTGTTTTAGAAGAGAAGTGTTCATCTCTTCAGCAGAGTTCCACAGACTTGTACAATCTGACGAAGAACACTGATGGACCAACACCTACAATTACGGAGCACAGATGACTTGCTCTGTTATGTTGGACCGTTTTTTTTGACTCAGTGCTCACTCCCAAAGCATCACAGCAAAGCTCTCAGCTCAACAGAGTTGTAAGGGACTGCCAAAACAAGATGGAGAACAGCTTAAGAGCCATCCACACCAAGAACAATTACAATAACGATGAGGATGTAAGCATCCACACATTGTGCTAGGGCTGTGTCAGCAGCTTAGGAAAATCACTGTTTCAATCTTTATATCGTTCATCAAATCACTCTGAAAGCGATTCCAACAATATTGATTGCCACTGTTTGGATTCCCGGCCCAGTCACCAGAATAAAATGTTGCCATTGTGCATTTCTGCAAACCAGGTTACATTACATTTGCACGTTTTATATGTATCATATTAGCGTTTCTAAAGTGACGTAATATATGAGCTGACACATAATATTTTCCAAGTAGGTTTTGTGCCTAAACCTGACCACATGTTAAGCTCAGCATTGTTGAATTGCAACATATCCGCTACATAATAACATAGGTTGGGACTCCGCCATCCACCTGAGTTGGAACAATTTTAAACAA